TATAAATGACTTGGGGATAGAAAGTTGGGAGATATCACACATGGGCAAACAATAATATTAATAGTTAATTTGTGATGCAATCATGCTCTGGAATTACATAGACTATAAATAAATGGTAATCTTGATCAAATTTTATGTTTTCAGGCCCTTTGGTTACCTTCTGTGAATTACCTATTTATATACTTGGCACGTTTTTAGAGAAGTAGCTGTCTTTTGATCTGTGGTGATAGAGAAGACTCTTGCGAGTCCCTTGGACTGCAAGGAGATCCAACCTGTCTATCCCAAAGGAAATCAGTCCTGAATATTCATTGGAAGGACTGATGCTGAAGCTGAAACTCCAATACTTTGGCCACCTGATGCGAAGAACCAACTCAGTGGAAAAGACCCTGATGCTGGGAAAGATTGCAGGCAGGAGGAGAAGGGGACAACAGAGGATGAGATGGTTGGATGGCATCACCGACTAGATGGGCATGAGTTTGAGTAGGCTTTGGGAGCTGGTGATGGACAGGGAAGCCTGGCGTGCTGCAGTCCATGGGATCGGACATGACAAACTATCTTTTTCTTATTGATTTATAAGAATTCTTCATATGTTGTAGGTATTAAATTGTGTTCAGTTATATGCATGATTATTAACTCTAATTCATGGCTTGTCTTTTAATTTTGTGTGTATGTGTGTGTTTTTTCCCTATACAAGTATTTACTTTTCAAAAAACTTTGTTGAAATACTCTGTGTGAAAATATTGAACAGAGCATGATGAACTCACCTGTATAACCAGCACCCCAGAGGCTTCACCCTCCTTCTCAATCATGACCTTCCCACAAAGATAACCTTTATGCATACTTCTAACACAGTAAGTTGTATCTATCTTCTGCACTTCATTTAAATGGAGTAGTGCAGAATATATTTCTCTCCTTTTTTTCTCAACACATCCGTGCAATGTGTCCGTGTTTTGTTTTGAAGTAATATCTTGTTTCTTCACATCACTATATAACCATACCACAGATAAATTATCCCTTCTAATATTAATGGGCATGGCTTTTGCTTAATTCAAATAGTTTATATGTGAACATTCTTGTGTATATTTTTGAAGAACGTGTCAAAGATGAACATTTCTATTTGACATGGTCTACCAGTGGAATTGCTGGTAGGATATGCTGGTAGGATATACACAAGATATGCATGTATCATCTTTACTAAATAGTTCTTTTTCACTACACAATATTCCATATTTTTGTATCAAGTTACATTCCCACCAACAATGCATAAAAGTTCCTACTGGTCCACAGGCTTGTTGCTGTTTGGAACTGGCAGTTGCTTTTTTTGCACCATTATGGCATATATACTCATGGTGACTTTAATATGTATTTTCCTCATGGCTAATGAAGTTGAACATCTTCTTCCTGTTTATTGTAATGAGAACTTCCTCATTTTCAAAGAGCCTGTTCAAGTATTTAGCCATTTGAGAGAGGAGTTGTCTGTCTTTTCCTTTCGATTTTTGAGAGTTCTTTAATATATTTTAGACATGAGTTCTTTAAAAAACGTATATTTCTGAAAATATACATGCCTCCTACTCACTTGGTCTTACTTCACTTGATTCTTTGCTATTTCAATCCTTCATAGAATCTTTTTTTTTTTACTCTATGAATTTTTCTATATTTTCTGTATATTTTGAATCATATAAAATTATCTTTTGAAAGTTGAGCATAACACATAGGCAGATAAACACATGGAAATATTTAACTCAAATTTTCACACACTGAACACATCCATGGGCTCAGATCCCAGATTAAAACAGGATATTGTGAGGAAATTGCATCTCCTTTGCACTGCCTTCTAATTACAGGCTTCACCAATAAGACTTCTCAACCCATGAAGTATTTTTTTGTGTGTTTTTGAATGCAATATAAATATACGTTTTAAATTTTTTTAATTTTTTTTTGAGTGGGTTAGGGGCATAGGCTGATTTCCTTTATTCAATAATAGCTTCGTTGTCTATATCAATTATTTCATTGTTAAATGGAATTTTCTTGAATGAATTCTGTAATTTATATGTTCATTCTAGATTTGATGGGAACTTCGATAATTTACATGTTGTAGCTATTACAGGATAGTCTGGCTGTGAACAATTAGTGTCTTTTACTAATCTACACTCCCACCAGCAGTTTACAGAGACATTTGAGAAAGCCACTAGGACAAGAACTACAAAGCTCACTTACATACTTATAAGCTAAACAAATGTTATCACTTTGAGCCATTGATTTCAAGACTGTTATGCATAACTATTGTCACATATATACACAAAAAGTCAGAATGGTTGCCTGAACAGGCCTTACAAACAGCTGTGAAAAGAAGAGAAGCAAAAGGTGAAGGAGAAAAAGAAAGATATACCCATTTGGATACAGAGTTCAAAAGAATAGCAAGGAGAGATAAGAAAGCCTTCCTGAGTGATCAGTCCAAAGAAATGGAGGAAAACAACAGAATGGGAAAGACTAGAGATCTCTTCAAGAAAATTGGAGATACCAAGGAACATTTCATGCAAGATGGGCACAATAAAGGACAGAAATGGTATGGACCTAACAGAATCTGAAGATATTAAGAAGAGGTGGCAAGAATTCACAGAAGACTATACAAAAAAGATCTTCATGACCCAGATAATCATGATGGTGTGATCATTCACCTAGAGCCAGACATCCTGGAATGTAAAGTCAAGTGGACTTTGGGAAGCATCACTGCGAACAAAGTTAGTGGAGGTGATGGAATTACAGTTGAGCTATTTCATATCTTAAAGATAAGCTGTGAAAGTGCTGCACTCAATATGCCAGCAAGTTTGGAAAACCCAGCAGTGATCACAGGACTGGAAAAGTCAGATTTCATTCCAATCCCAAAGAAAGGCAATGCCAAAGAATGTTCAAACTACCACACAAATGAACACATCTCACACACTAGCAAAGTAATGCTCAAAATTCTCCAAGCCAGGCTTCAATAGTATGTGAACTGTGAATTCTCAGATGTTCAAGCTGGATTTAGAAAAGGCAGAGGAGCCAGAGATCAAACTGCTAACATTTGCTGGATCTTTGAAAAAGCAACAGAGTTCCAGAAAAACATCTACTTCTGCTTTGTTGACTACACCAAAGCCTTTGACTGTGTGGATCACAACAAACTGCAAAATTCTGAAAGAGATGGGAATACCAGACCACCTGACCTGCCTCCTGAGAAACCTGTATGCAGGTCAAGAAGCAACAGTTAGAATTGTATGTGAAACAACAGACTGATTCCAAATCAGGAAAGGAATATGTCAAGGCTGTATATTGTTACCCTGCTTATTTAACTTATATGCAGAGTACATCATCAGAAATGCTGGACTGGATGAAGCACAAGCTGGAATCAAGATTGCTGCGAGAAATATCAATAACCTCAGATATGCAGATGACACCACCCTTATGGCAGAAAGCGAAGAAGAACTAGAGAGCCTCTTGATGAGTGTGAAAGAGAAGAATGCAAAAGTTGGCTTAAAACTCAACATTCAGAAAACTAAGAGCATGGCATCTGGTCCCATCACTTCATGACAAATAGATGGGGTAACAATGGAAACAATGAGAGACTTTATTTTGAGGGGTTCCAAAATCGCTGTAACCATGAAATTAGAAGATGCTTGCTCCTTGGAAAAAAGCTATGACCAACTTAGACAGCATATTAAAAAGCAGAGACATTACTTTGCCACCAAAATTCAAAGCTATGGTTTTTCCAGTAGTCATATATGGATGTGATAGCTGGATACAAAGAAAGCTGAGCACCAAAGAATTGGTGCTTTTGAACTGTGCTGTTGGAGAAGATTCTTGAGAGTCCCTTAGACTGCAAGGGAAATCAGGAAATCAGACTATTCAGGAGATCAGTCCTGAATAGTCATTGGAAGGACTGATGCTGAAGCTGAAACTCCAATACTTTGGCCACCTGATGCAGAGAACTGACTCATTTGAAAAGACCTTGATGTTGGAAAAGATTGAGGGCAGGAGGAGAAGGGGACAACAGAGGATGAGATGTTTGGAGGGCATCACTGACTCAATGGACATGAGTTTGAGTAACTCCGGGAGTTGGTGATGGACAGGGATGCCTGGTGTGCTGCAGTCCATGGGGTTGCAAAGAGTCAGACTCGACTGAGTGACTGAAGTATAACTGTACTGTAACTCTAACTGTTGCATTCTTGGGTTATCCTTAGTTGATGATACTACAGATTTCCCTTTGTATATCACTGAATTCAAGTGGCTAGTATTTCAATATTGGTTTTTTCCTCTATCTTCATTAGGGATGTTGGCTTTTAAATTCCCTCCTTTTCACAATATTCTTATTAAACTTTAAAATCAAATTTTGCCAATAAATAAACTGACAAGATAATTTTCCCATTTACCCCATTCATAAATATTTTCTTCCCCTAAACTCTGGCAGAGAGTATGAGAAATTGTTGCTATTCCTTCTTTAAAACTTAGGGAGAATTCACTCGTAAAATCTTTTAGGCCTTGAAATTATATAATGGAAAGGATTCACTTTCTAGATTTAATTTATGTAATACTTATGGGATTGTCTATATATTTTATTTCTTATTATTTCAATATGCCAATTTCCCTTATTGGCAATTACAGAATTTTGAAAATTGTCAGTTTCACTAAAATTTTCAAATGCATTCATGTGAAATTGCTAATAATATACCTTTAATATCCATTAGTCGATTCATGGGGTTGCAAAGAGTCGGACACGACTGAGCGACTGAACTGAACTGAATATCCATTAGTAGATACAAAATCTGTAGTGACGTCCTCATTTTAATATCTGGATTTAGGAGATTTTTTTCTGTCTCCTTTTTGATCAGCTTTACTACAAGTCTTAATTTTCTTAGTTCTAAGAAAAAGTTTTCTATTTTTGTACTAATAAATTTATTTTCTACTTTATTAATTTTTCAAATTATATTTATGATTTTATTCTCTCTTGGGTTTAATTGTTTTTTTCAGTTTCTTGGATTTAGATACTTAGGTAATTGATTTCCAACCCATCATAATTTCTTTTTTTTATCATAATTTCTAAAGTATGCACTTTGACTATAAATTTCATCCTTAGCGTAGTTTTAACTATATTTCACAAGTTTGATGTCTGTGCTTTCATTATTATTTAGTTAAGAATGCTTTCCAATATTCCTTGTTATTTCTTCTTTGACATTTGGATTATTTATATGCTTATTGCTTATTTTTCAAAGAGTGAGAATTTTCTAGTGATGTTTGTCGTTAATTTTTTTGCTTCATTTCACTGTGGTTGGAGAATACGTTCTGAATGATTTATCTATCCTTGTTCTATGTTCTAAGCCGAGGATAGTGTCAGAACACCAAATTATCATGTCATCTTTGTTGATTTTCAGATTTTGAGACATTGACATCTTGTGGCTTTCCCAGTGACCTGGAAGTCAGAAAGAAAAATAAATAAATAAAACAAGCTAATTCTATTCTATTCTCCTGCCCTATTTCACCTTATTTAGACCAGTTTCACTTTGGCTTATTTGCTGGTGTTATTTCAAAAGCTTTTTGTTTAAAAAAGAATTTGGCTGTTTGTAATCCACTGAATTTGAATATACTGCAGTTCTTCCAATTTTGGAATACCATTATTCTATGTATTTTGCTAATTATCAAAATCCAAAATCACCTTGTAAAGTCAGTATGATCTTATCTGTTTAACATGGCACTCTAGTCTTCATATATTAGGTCCATTAAATTAGTCCAGTTACATTATTACTATTTAATTTACATATATGATCTATGTGTGAATGACCAAAAAAGCCTCTGCTAAATTTTGTAAAAATCAATAGTCCAGCTAGTCAATAGCCTTTTAATTAGTCTAAAACTATAATTGAAGATCTAAAAGATTTTCAACCCATCCGAGGAATCAACAATGTACAAATTAAATCAATGGTGCTAAATGATTTTCTTTATCAGAATGGCATAGATTAAGTATTTTATACACTTTTGCTTGGAATCTATATTGAAAAATATTTTGTTCAAGGAAAAAGCTGGACTAAAGTCAGATGTCACAAACTTCAATACTTGCAGGAGCCAAGAAAGGGAAATCACATTAACCTTACTCTTCCCCATGGTAGTGTTCAGCTGTAAAAGCCTTATGCAAAGTTTCTGAGGGCAAGATCAAGAAAAGTGAATTGAGCCAAGATGAGTTTCAAAAAAAAGGAAATGATTAGATACATTCAAACATGAAACATTTTAGCATCCAGCAATCCTTATCACAAACACACACATATGCTTGATGACAAATTCAACTAATAAAAGGCATGAAGCAAAAAACAAATTAAAAGTGAAAGAGCCACAGTAAGAATATTAGTGGTACATATTGAATTCTTCTAAAGCCAAAACTAATATCAGAAATTACGCAAATTGTATTTACATGACACATTACTCATGAGACAAATATAATAATAAAGATAAAATTACTTTTAAAATTAAAGAAGCAGCTAGAGGAGGCAGGAGGAAGCATGATACTGTTTTTTAAAAGAGTCAATTAACAGGGTAAAAATGGAAGTTTATTTTAAAAAGTCAAAGACATAATGATTCCAACCACTTAATGGTTTTCATCTGCCTGTCAGAAATATTTAGGAAAATAAGAAATATGGTCACTTTGTATTTTTCCCCTTTCTATTAAAATCAAGTTAAGTGAAGGCTTTTATGCAAAAAATATCACATGTTCTTGTTCTTTAAAGTTTCAGATCTATTTATTATTCTCTGTATATTAAAAAAAAGAAAAAAACCTGATATCTAAAATGGTATTTCCCTAATAACAATGGCTATTTCTTGGTGGAAGATCTAAGATGACAACGGAACTTTCTTCTTTGAACTATTCTCCATGGCTAAAATTATGATAAGCATGTAATAACTTTATAATAAATGTAACCAAATTTCTTTCTTCAAAATTGTTGTTCAGTTGCTCAGTCGTTTCCAACTCTTTGTGAGCCTATGGACTGCAACATGCCAGGGTTCCCTGTCCTTCACCAACTCCCGGATCGTGCTCAAACTCATTGAGTTGATGATGCCATCCAACCATCTAGTCCTCTGTCATTGCCTTCTCCTGCTTTAAATCTTTCCCAGCATCAGGGTCTTTTCTAAGACGTTCAGTCTTCACATCAGGTGGCCACAGTATTGGAGCTTCAGCTTCAGTATCAGTCCTTCCAATGAATATTCAGGACTGATTTCCTTTAGGATTGACAGGTTTGATCTCCTTGCAGACCAAGGGACTCTCAAGGGTCTTTTCTAACACCACAGTTCAAAAGCATCAATTCTTTGACCCTCAGCCTTCTTTTGGTCCAACTCTACACCCATATATGCCTACTTGAAAAGCCATAGCTTTCCCTAGATGGACCTTTGTCAGCAAAAGTAAAGTAGTGCCTATGCATTTTTTTTTCCTTCAAAATTAAAATAAGCCAATTATGAAACAAACACATAAATAAAATTTTGTGGTTCACTCCACAGCCTAAGTTGTGACCCAATGACTGTTGAGACTTCTCTAGTTCTAAATTCTATCCAGCTGGTCTTAAGTGATGAGAAATGGAAAAACACATGTGACGTGCCTCTTACTCACAGAGGGTGTCCCATCCTCTTCCTGCTCTGGCCTTGGGGCTGGGCTGTTCTGCCCCTTTCTCATGTCACCAGCTGCCTCTTTTTCCTCTTCTGCCTTTGTGTGTATAGGTTTTTCCCCTGTCCTATGCCAAATGGCATTTAAATCCTACAGCTACACTGTGGGATTAATAGATCAGAAGAGATCTTTCCTCGCTTACTACTTCTCCCTTGAAGGAGGCTGTATTTATTGCTTTAATTAGAGCACGAATCTGTAGGAGGAAGTGTAAGTCTTCAGCCTGTCTCCTGACAGCATCAAACTAGGGAGGCAACTTGGAAACTCTCTGCTCCAAGAAGTGCCAGCTGAATAATTAGTACTGTACAGTTAACAGTTTTAAAAAACGTGGGAGGGGGGATGAAAATCAGTGTAAGCATCTTTAACAAATTTAAACTTTCTAAAATGGGTTTCATAATTTGTTGCAGATGAAGCATTTTGGAGATCTTTTTCTTAAATATGACAACATACTAATATTCTCTTTGTGGGGAGGGAGAAGCAAGGTGTTGATATTCATCTAACCTGCAGCAAATGTCAGTGAATAGCTGAGTTGGCTTTCTTTCTGTTTTGAAAGGAAAGAATAATTCCCCACAATTATTCCTCCAAGGAGCATTAAATTTGCCAACTGATTAAAACAAGAAAAGACAAAGTTTCTTGAGTTTATTTTAGGAATTCAGCAATGTCTGAATAAGTCATGTTTTTAAGGTAACAAGTTATCATGTGTCCAAAGGTGATTACCAAAATTATTAATAAATGGGGAGATATGGCCTAAACCAGTCCAAATGGGAGGTAGGCACTGTGCTGAACAGGTCCATTACACCTCAATATTAGCCCCAGTTGAGTCCTTTGTTCACAATGACCTCTACTTTGTTTAGGAGCAAGGATATAAATCTCTGTTGGTCTCTAGAAGAAGGAATTATTTATAGGCAAATTTAATGACTTTTCATGAACTTTGAAGACAATAATTCTTTATTCATTTATTCATTCAACAACTGAGCATAGAAGGCCCTCTGTGCCAAATATTAGGACTACGGAGATAAACAACAAAGACTCTCCCCCTGCTCTCACAAGTTGAATTTCTAAAGCAGGGGTTAGCAAACATTTTTAAAGCAATAGATAATAAATGTTTTTGATTTTGCAAGACCTACAGTATCTGTCAACACTACTCGACACTCCTGTTGTAACATGAGAACAGCCTTGGGCATGTCAGTCAGTCAGTCGTATCTGACTCTTTGCAACCCTGTGGACTGTAGCCTGGAGGTTACAGTTGGACGCAACTGAGTGACTGAGCTCACACACACAACCTTCACAGAGTATTCGCTTCCTCTATAGGACATTTCCAAAAGGTAATGAGCCACTGTTGGAGCACCTTCAATGGCAGGACATTGGCAATTTCAAAACTCTGTTTTATTGCTGGACAGAGGTATTTTAATTAAATTTGTACTTCTATTAAGTACAGATATCAATATACATGTAATAAAGACTCTGAGTCCCAGTAAATTTAGCTCAACTAGTATCCCTAGTCTGTCCTCTTTGCTAGGCCTCAAGAAATAAATAAAAGTAACTTTTCCATATGACTTAATTTACAGACAGCCATCCCATCATCTGCAAATCTTTGTATTAATTATATCTGCTCATTTTTGGTCCAATAGTTTGGTTCTTCTAATTAGAAGGTTTAAAAAGGTGTGGTTTGGGGGTTCTTTCTGATTCCTTCATATATTCAATATTAGCTCTTTTGTTTCTAGTACAGAGAATATTAAAAAGAAGGATGGGGGAAGAAAACTAGATTGTTTCCTTCTAAAGTGGCAACCCAAAACATATTTGCATAGTAATAACAATATGTGCCAGTGTGCCCTATTAAAATTAATCTGCTTATGTGATAAGGCTTTTTGGACATGAGACATAGCTTAGTTTCGACTTGAGAAAAAGTGCTAATCTTAAAAGGGCATTATCTTCTTTGCCCATTATCTCTTTTGCCCAAATTCTCCAAACCAGGCTTCAGCAGTACATGAACTGTGAACTTCCAGATGTTCAAGCTGGATTTAGCAAAGGCAAAGGAACCCGAGATCAATTGCCAATGTCCACTGAATCATTGAAAAAGCAAAAGAATCCAGGAAAAAATCCACTTCTGCTTTATTGACTATGTAAAAGCCTTTGACTAGATGGATCACAACAAACTGTGCAAAATTCTGAAAGAGATGGGAATACCTGATCACCTTACCTGCCTCCTGAGAAATCTGCATGCAGGTCAAGAATCATCAGTTAGAACTGGACATGGAACAACAGACTGGTTCCAAATTGGGAAAGGAGTATGTCAAGGTGGTATATTGTCACCCTGCTTATTTAACTTATATGTAGAGTACGTTATGCAAAATGCCAGGTGGGATGAAGCACGAGCTGGAATCAAGATTGCTGTGAGAAATATCAATAACCTCAGATACACAGGTGACACTACCCTGATGGCAGAAAGTGAAGAAAAATCTAAAGAGCCTCTTGAAAGTGAAAGAGGAGAATGAAAAAGTTGGCTTAAAACTCAACACTCAAGGTCATGGCATCTGGTCCCATCACTTCATGGAAAATAGATGGGGAGACAATGGAAACAGTGAAAATTTTATTATTTTGGGCTCCAAAATCACTGCAGATGGTGACTGCCTCCATGAAATTAAAAGACACTTGCTCCTTGGAAGAAAAGCTATGACCAATTTAGACAGCATATTAAAAAGCAGAAACATTACTTTTCTGACAAAGGTCCATCTACCCAAAGCTGTGGTTTTTCCAGTAGTCATGTATGGATTTGAGAGTCGGACTATAAAGAAAGCTGAGCACCGAACAATTGATGCTTTTGAGCTGTGGTGCTGGAGAAGACTCTTGAGAATCCCTTGGGCTGCAAGGAGATCAAACCAATCAATCCTCAAGGAAATCAATCCTGAATATTCATTGGAAGGACTGATGCTTAAGCTGAGACTTCAATACTTTGGCCATCTGATGCAAAGAACTGACTCATCGGAAAAGACCCTGATGCTGGGTAAGATTGAAGGCAGGAGGAGAAGGGGACAACAGAGGATGAGATGTTTGGAGGGCATCACTGACTCAATGGACATTAGTTTGAGCAAGCTCCGGGAGTTGGTGATGGACAGGGAGGCCTGGTGTGCTGCACTACATGGGGTCGCAAAGAGTCAAACACAACTGAATGACTGAAGTGAACTGAAATGATTTTCTTTGAAAAATAAATATTGCCAGAGCTAGCATTCTAATCTTTTTTGTGTTCTCTTATCTTTATTCACATACAAGACAATTGGCAAAATTCAGTTTAATAACAGAAATTTCATTTAATCCGACAAAAATACTAGAGTATAGTCCATGGTGTGTGTATATAATTCCATTTATAGCACTATATCATAGCCACTGGATATCACACTATACTAGGAACATAAGAGATTTTGGAGTCAGAACATAGCAAAGAACAGCTTCATTACACAATATTTAGATTACTTCAGGGAGTTACATCTCAGAGCAACATTTTACAATATTTTTAATTTAATTTTTATTCAAATATGCTTGCATGCGTGCTGGTTGCATCTGTCTCTTTGCAACCCTATGAACTGTAGCCTGCCAGGCTCGTCCATCCATGGGATTCTCCACGGGTTGCCATGCCCTCCTCAGGGGATCTTCCCACCCAGGGATTAAATCCACCTTTCTTTCTTTTTTTTTTTTTCAATTTACATTTCTTATGTCTCCTGCATTGGCAAGTGGGTTCTTTACCACTAGTGCCCCCTGGGAAGCCCTTCTTTGAGTATAGTTACTTTACAGTGTTATATTAGTTTCTACTGCACAGCAAAATGAATCAGCCACACATACACAGAGATGCCCTCGCTTTCGGACTTCCTTACCATTCAGGGCACCACAGAGCACCAGGTCCTGATTAGTTATCTGTTTTATACATGGTACGAATAGTGTATATGTGTCAATCCCAGAGCACACCTAGGTCATAGCTATTCATTTATAAAATGAAAGCAATAATACACATTTTACAGTACTGGATACAAAATGTTGGCAAACTGTTAAACAGAATGTCTGATCACTTCAGTTCAGTTCAGTTCAGTTGCTCAGTCGGGTCTGACTCTTTGTGACCCCATGGACTGCAGCACACCAGGCTTCGCTGTCCATCACCAACTCCCAGAGCTGGCTCGAACTCAAAATGTCTGATACTCAAATATTATTCTCTTCTCCTTCCTTTCAGCCTCCTCCAAGTTGCTTCTAAGGTTAGTAATTGGCAAAATAAAGGTGAGAGGTGAAAAACAGTGGGATGAGATAGACACTAAAAAATTTAAAAGGAGAAAATCTCCAAAGGAAATACAAACACATCATCCAAGCAATTCATTCTCTGGTCTCTTTATATGAAAACCTATCCCTAGAGTAATGAGTATATGATTGTAATGTGATTAAATATTTAGCTTACAAAGAAAATTCTTTCTCATTTGGAGGTGATTATAAGGAAGCAAGCTGGTATAGTCCTTATTTAAAATGTAAATGTTAGTTAAAGCATGTGAGATTAATCTCAACATTGGGCTCTGAGACATTTGGATAATAGCTCACATTTTTATAGCACTGTACTGGTACCTTTAGACTGTGTGCTTTATGAGTGTCACCTTCTTTAATCCTCACAACCAAGCTTGATGTGTTATCATCTTCATTCACAGATAGAGAAACAAATCGTTTAGACCCACCATGAGTTAGTGGCAGAGTCAGGAATAGATTCCAGGCTGTCTGGCTGTGGTTTACACTGTGTTCTCACATGCACTCCACCCCTCTCCACTGCTCTTCATCCTTTCTATCTATTTTATTGCAAGAAAAAGTGAGACAGCACTTTCAATCTGATGAACAAAAGTCTTAAACCCAAGCCTCTAAGGCCCACAGGTGATGTGAAGGAGAGCTGTAGGTCATACTAGCAGGTCCTTAGAAAAGGCAATGTATAGGGAGTAGCCTATTAAATGCCAATTAAGATTCTTTCCAACTTTTGGCAAATATTTGCCACTCTCCTAGGCAGTGAGACTACCATGGATAAGAAAATAAAACCTTTTTGTCTTTGAGTTGAGTGGTGCACCCCCAGATTCATGTCTACTCAGAACCTCAGAAGGTAATCATATTGAGAACTAGGGTCTTTGTAGCTCCAATTAAGGTAAGGATGAAGATGAGACCATACAAGATTAAGGTGGGCTCTAAATCCAATGAAAGTGTCCTCCTATGAGACAGAAAGGAACACACAAATATGGAGGGAGAAAAGAGCATCATGAAGATGGGGGCAGAGGTCTGCGCGATGTGTCTATAAGCCAGGATCAGCAAAGACTTCTGCAGCCACTATGGACCAGCTCCTCCCTCACAGTGTCTGGACGGAGTCAACTCTGCTGACACTTAGATTTAGGCTTCTGACCTCTAGAGTGATGAGAGGAAAGTTCTGTTGTTTTAAGTCTCAACTTTGTGGCAATTTGTGGCAGCTGTCCTAGGAAATATATTCTGCCTTTGCTGATGTGCATTCTAGAAAGGAAAAGAGAAAACATGGTATATAAATAAGTACATAATATTACATGCTCCTGAGTGCTTCTTGTTGCAAAAAATCCTGGAGGACTAAACATTTGTAACTAGCTCCCTGCTCACTAAACCCAAAGTATCTAGCAAGAACTACTAAATTTCAGTCCTAGTCTTGTCATCCCTTCATCTTGTCCCAAAACTAACAGACTCTCATTTTCCTCAGTGAAAACTTCTTGGCACAAACGTGAGCACTCACAGACCTTCTCTGATTTCCTCTTATCCTCTTTAAGCCACTGGCATTCTACTGAGCAGTCATCTTGAATTGTTTTCATATAGAAGATTTTAATAAAGGCTCAAGCTAACAATTTTGGTCATCTTTCTCCTTCATCTTAGGATTGAAAAGATCTTAGGAATCTACACTACCTCTTTTGTAGAGCAGTGATGATGTGATTGCAAAGGATCATGATTGGTTAGCAATAAAATGGACTTCCCCAGGTGGCGCTAGTGGTAGAGAACCCACCTGCCAATGCAGGATACACGGGTTTGAACCCTGGCTCTAGAAGATCCCTTAAAGTGGAAAATGGCAACTCGCTCCAGTATCCTCGCCTGGAAAATCCCATGGACAGAGGAGCCTGGCAGGTCCATGGGGCCACAGAGAGTTGGACACAACTAAGCAGCTAAATGGCAATAAGATCACTAGACTTATTCTATCACATACAAACTGCATGAACTTAAGTCACCCCACCAATCTAACTCTTAGTTTCCTTATCTGTAAAATGGGAAGGAATTGGAATAAGTGACCCCCAAAATCCTTTCCAGTCTTAGTCTTGTATGCCTTTATGGGTATAAGTGCATGAAAACAAGTCAATCAGTTGGATATACCATGGCTTAAAAATACTTAAAACCCAAATCAAGGCCAACCAATCATTCGATACACTTAAGGCCATATAATAACAAATCTTATAAATCAGTAAGTGTCTTATTTGTTGCCCATCTAGCATGTTTGCTTTTTTCAGCCATGTGAAAGTGTGAAAGTGTTAGTCCCTCAGTTGTGTCTGGCTCGTTGCAACCACTGGACTATACCCACCAGGCTTCTTTGCCCATGGGATTTTCCAGGCAAGAATACTGTAGTGAGTAGCTATTCCCTTTTTCAGGGGATCTTCCCCACTCATGGATCAAACCCCTCTTGTGTAATATGACCTCCTCTATGAAATTTTCGTCTTACCTCTCCTGTTCATGACAACCTCTCTCTTCTGTAAACCTTTACCACTGACAGCCATTACTAAAAGTCACTGCTCATGACACTTAGATTTTTCAGCTGGACTATAATTTCTTGAGTAATAAGAGTCTAGTAATTCCACATTCCACATCTATGATTTTTCAAGAGCAACTAGAGACCTAGATTTATTTGTAAAATCTTACATTAAAATATTATCAATTAAATCAAACATTTTCAAAACTTCATGTGGCTACATTGTTATGCCCGATGTCCGAATCCCCGAGCGGGAAGAGAGAAAGCTACCAAGAGACAATGCAAAACGCAAGAAGGAAGTTTATTGCTAGCTCGAGCTAGGGCCCCCGCTGTGTCCAACGCAGTGGCGCACAGGCTGAGAGCCCCGAGCCCGGTTTTT